TCCGCATTGTTGCTGCTTTCTTGTTGGAGGTGGCGCTGCAAGAGATCGGCGGTGTTGGTCGAGAATTTGGCTGTCAATCGGCGGGCGTTGGGGTGAATCGCTTTGTAGGCCGGAGAAGTGTGTGCATCACTTCCGTAACTGAATTGATATTCACTGTCATGGCCAACTGATGAAAAACAATTCGAATTCGTTGGGGCTGTATCTTTGTCTTCACCAGAGCATGTCTTGTCTGTGTTTGATACTTCATTCCCGCAATAACATTTTATATAATATTCACCATAACCTTCAAAAGGGCAATCCAAAAGGAAATAATCCCTTGAATAATCAAAGCAATAATCATTGCATTCTTGCGCCTGATCTTCGTTCCCAATAGATGTCTCAGATGCCAATGGGATATGTGCGTATTCTTCAAAAACCCCAAGTTTTGCGCATCCCATCATCTGAAACTTTGTGGTTGGTGGTGGGGGGGGGGTGAAGCTCAGCTCCACTGTGCCTTTGCACGTGACCGATTTTTCCTCGGATCCAGTTCCATAATAATAGCGGGGAGTAACTACAGTTTCAAAAGACACAGCGCCCGCTCCTACAGCTTCTGCTTCTGAGCCATCCTTCTTGTAACCCGTCAGATCGGTTACGACGCTTGTCAGTGCCTTCGTAACTCCGTCTTTCACCACCTCTTCTGTTCCGGCACACACAACCTCTTTGAATCCAACCACGGCATAGCCCTCGTCAACCTTTGCCTCGGTAGGACCAACGCAGATGGAGAAGCTTTGGCCAATCTTGTAGGTTTGGCCTGGGTCTCCAGAATCAGATGGGCCACACAAGTACGAGTCAAGATCGACTGGATCGTGTGTTTTATCTTCGTCGAACAATTCCATGCTGGTGCCCACGACGTTGATATCGTTCTCAAAAGTCTGTAAGATTCCGTGCCCATCGATTTTGACCGAAATCGATGTATCAACAAAGGAGACATAGTTATCATAATGCTTCTTGGAAACCCTCGCGCCTAGAAGGCAACAAGACAACAATATGAGTGATTCGGGCAGG